AAAAAGATAATGAAAAGATGAAAATAAAGTGTTTGTAGATGGGGAGGGGAGGAGGGGGTGAAGGGAGGGCAGGGGTAAGGGGAAAAAATGAGAACCAAGACTTGTCATGTAGAGGTACAAGATCCCAACAATGAATGTAACTGTACTGTATCCCTAAAATGTACCAATAAACTGAATTAAAGCTGAAAAGAGAGAGAGAGAGAGACAGAGACAGAGACAGAGAGAGAGACAGAGAGAGACAGAGACAGAGAGAGAAGGCCAGCAGGGTAAGAACAAATTCCAGTCCAGAGACAGCTAGGATTGGATGATGTGGCCAGGGTAGCTGCTCCTTGCCTGCTCAGGATGCCCTTTGTTCTGGGCGTGAATTGGGGATTTTGGATCACTCTGGTACATAGTTACTTCCAGGAGATTACAGGAGGAAATGCTCCTCTTCCTGTTTAGGATTACACTCTGAACCCTCCCCTCCCTCGCAGGCCATATGTTCATCCTAAACCTCAGCATCCAGCCAGAAAAGCCCTTTGTGTTTTCTTGGCAGAACTAGGGCCCAGTAATTAAAGTCCATATGCGAAGCTGCTACCTCCAGTGCACACCAAGGTCTTTTAATTAGTACGTAATTGATCAGAGAGGTACTATCAAACAGCTCCGCGTCTGGCCGGCTGGAAATGCAGTGTTTGAAAAGTCCCAGACCGGAGAGGGATAATAAATGCTTTAAGTCCCATCTGTTGGAATGATTTGTTTAAGGTCTAAATTCCTGTTCTGTTACTATTTTTACAAATTCTGCTCCTAGTATTTCTTCAAATACTGCAACAATTACCACAGTATTCCTTGGAGGTAGGAGTGTGAGGAAGTGAACTAGAAGCGTGCTTAGCAAATCCCTGTATTTCCCTTCAAAGAAATTCGTGTGTCGAGGTGGGGCGTTCAGTGTGAGCCTCGTGTGGAGTTCTGGGGTCGTGTCCCTCTGTGAGAGCAATCCCAGGACAGTTAGCCCCTCGGCAGTCCATGGTCTTTGCAGTGACCTGTATGGGCAGCCCTGTCACCCGTCCTCTGCCTCCCCAACCCGCGTCATGTGAGAGTTGTCTTGACACGAGGAAGGACTCTGCGTCAGCTTGGAAGACAAAGGTCAGCAGCTGAGGAGAAGCAGAATAAAAAGCAGGGAGTTGGGGGTTTCACTGCCCCCCAGTAGCCGTGGTGGACCAGCGCTCACTGTGTCCTGCCTGGCATCTGCAACTGACTCGGTTTTGCTGGACCAGTGTACCCCGGAGGAAGCGGGGCAGGAGAAGAAGGTGGAAGAACCCCTTCCAGGTTCTTTTGTTCATTAAACCCTTTGGGCAATGCTGGAGTCAAAACTCAAGGCTTAAAAAAATTCAAACTCAGAAATAGTCAGTGACTGTTTCACAGGTTACAGGATGGGGGTAAGATTGGGGAGATGCTAACCAAAGGTACCCACTTTTAGTTACAAGATGAATAAATCCTGAGGCGCTGATGTACAATATGGTGAGGCTATAATTAATAATACTGTATTGCAGGACATTTGCAAATAGGGTAAGACCTTTTGCATTCTCAACCCCAAATCAGACAGTGATCTGTGAGGTGATGCTTACATTCATTATCTTGATTGTCGTTATTTCACAATACATCAAATCATCTCGTTGTGCTTTTTTAAATATATACAATTGTATTCTTCATTTATACCGCAATAGAACTAAAAGAAAAGACTTGATGGTTTAGAAGTGTAGGTGGCTACGTAACGTAGCTATTGAGGCGCATGAGTTCAGCTCCATCTCTGTTCCCTCTTGGCCTGTTCCAGATGCGGGCACGAGGAGAGGTACTGACCCCACCTGAGGAGGGCTGGGACAGGTGCCCACATGATGGAAAGGGCTGGTGGGAGGAAGGATGCAGGCCTGGGCCAGCTTGGAGAAGGCCTGGCGGATTGTTCTTTCTTCACTACCAACTACTTGT